GTCTGTCTGTCTGTTTGTCTGTCTGTCTGTCTGTCTGTCTGTCTCTCTGTCTGTCTTTCTGTCTGTCTGTCTGTCTGTCTGTCTGTTTGTCCTCCTAATTACAATCATGCTTTAAATCGCGTAAATAGGGTCGTGAAGTCAACTCCATACTTTTAAAAAAAATGTTTCCATTTGTTCTTTCTCGTTGCATGTAGAACTTGGTTGAGTGTATTCTTCTGTGGTTCGCTCTTTCTTTCCTATTTATCGCCTTCATCACTCCTTTTTTTCTAATCGTTGCTCTTTTGTAACACCTCTAATCTCCGGCACTTATGTGACCGTGGGTGGTTGGCGGGTGCTCTGGTGTGGTTTGTTTCTTCTTTCCTATCAAACATCTATCGTCCTTACTTCTCCTCCTTTTTTGTCTTTGTAAATGTTACCCTCTTGTAACACCTCTAATCTTCGGCACTTATGTGACCTTATTGTGTTGCAAGTGCCGTAAAATTTTTACAAAAACGGATGTAAATCGTGTCAATAGGGGATGTAAAATCACTTACATTATTACAAATTTAATTTTTTTAAACCACCCTTTTCCTTCGATTTTTAAAAACTTTCCTTTTTTCTCTCGATTTTTTAAAAACCTTCCTTTTTTTTCTCTCTCGAATTTTTAAAAGCTTTCCTTTTTTCTCTCTCGATTTTTTAAAAACATTCCTTTTTTTCTCTCTCGAATTTTTAAAAACTTTCCTTTTTTCTCTCTCTCGTTCCCAGCGGCACGTTCCAATACGTCGGCTCCAATAACGTGACGTGCGAAGCAGGATTTAAGCTCCGCCATCTTGTGCCGGCCGCAGATCGGATCTCCGTCAAACCGGATGATGCCGTGGGCGTGCACACAAGCGGTCACGACACCCTGTCTATCAACGCGTGCAAGGGCTCGATCAAACTGGTGGAACCGCTCATAGCGAGTCCTCAGAAGACGGTGGATGTGACGAAGCTCGACTTCGCCAAGAGAGGCTGTTTGTACCCCTCTGTGGGGTTCAGGGTGGAGTCCTAGGTCAAGGCCAGGTCCGTCTGGAGTGACAGAAGGTGAGAGGAGAGGAGAAGGGAGGAGAGGTGAGAGGAAAGGAGAAGGGAGGAGAGGTGAGAGGAGAGGTGAGAGGAGAGGTGAGAGGAGAGGTGAGAGG